ATACGGGTGCCATAGGTGGATCCCTTTTAGGGTGGAAATCGATGGGGTTTCCCTGGATGATGAAACCGCCAGGAAAACCCAGGCCATCGATTTTTCGAGCAAAACCACCAAAAGGACACCTATGGGTGTGGCATCTTTCGAGGCTTCCCTTTGCGTCGGCACAATCTAGTTTGACACACGCCCGCTTCCAAAACCTAAGGGATCCCAAGCAAAGCACCTTCCTGGCTTTCGCTTGGGAGCCACACTGCGCATGGACAAAATCCGCTTCGCACCAGTTGGGATGGATGAAACCCTGTCAATACTGCGATAATCCACCTACCAACTGGTGAAATGTGTGTCCATCCGCAGCAGCAGCCTAAACTCCACTAGGGACCATTGAGCGCCGCAACATTCCCTGGTTTGGGACGTACAGTCATCCTAGATGGGACACCAAAAAATATTGATTTCTTGGCGGTTTCCCTGTAAACCAGCCTTCGAAATGGTACAAACTAAAAAGCATAATCACCAGCGTGCTGCTGGCATAATCTGTATTGCACAGCCCAAACGGAATGTCTCACAGAAATGATTGGCTCATTCCATGAAAAGACACAAGTACCCTCCCACTAACATGGAACCTGACCATGCTGGAAGACCACTTTCCTTTTCAAGGGACCGCCTGTCAGGTTCCATGATAACTCAAGAAAGACCTCCACCTCGGCCCACCTCCCGAGGCCGCGGCCCATGCTTCCGGCCACCACCACGCGCGGCTCGTGGCCCAGCGGAAGAGCTCGGACCTGAGGAGATGGCCATGGCCAGGTTGCCACTCCCAAACCACCCAAGGGAAAAGGACAGATACACCCTCTAGTGAATATATGGTTGTATACCCCCATGTTTGCTTGAAAAATGGTTTGGGTAGTGGAAACCGCTCAAGCTCCCTGAAACTGTCAGAAAGGGCGTTGGAGGCATGGCTAGAAAGGCTACTTAAAGGGGGGCATGCTGCAGTATATCGGCGATGTCCTTGATTCTGGCAAACAGCTCGAATTCGCCCTTTGTAGACACAACCTGAAAAGATGCCTTCTGTACGGTCCAAAAAGCGCATTCGCAAAGAAGTTGTCTTTTTTGAGGGTACTTGTTGTTGGTGTTCAAAGAGGAAACAAAATCCCATTTTGGGATTCCGGACACTATTTTGGAGACAAGCCCGTCTGAGTGACCCCTGCGAAGCAGATGCACCTTCATCATGGCCTTCCCGCCTTTGACCCCCAAGTGAGCCCTAACTCGTCCATTCAAGTTGCTGCACTCCTGTCGGCACTCCTGGTGTCGCCCAAATGAAACCCCAACGCTGTGGATGTCCATGAAAACACAGGAGCATTGATCGCCTCCCCCTGGGCCGCGACCAGCTCCGTCAATGTCGCGAGCACGTCTTTCACCTGACAGTGTCCCCGAAAACAAGAAGACCGTCACCTGAGTCACAATCTCAAAGCCCGGTATTAAAATGGTCTACTCAGAGCCATGTAAGGAATTAAGAAGGCGGCCGCAGCTATTTATGGTTGGGATTGTCCCGTACTAACCCTCATCTACCGGGTTTTGGATGACTTGGGTTGGTTTGCAGGTCAGGGGTTCCCCACTTATCCTACAGAGGGCGTCAAATCCCCGAACAAATCCCCAAACGAATCCAAACCAACGAATGTCCGGAACCCTCAGAGGACAAAACATCTGCACTCCGAAATAAAAGACCCTCAATAGGGCTGTGTCCTTTTGGCTGCGCCTTTCGCCCCAAAACTGCGGGCCATGTGGTGATGGTTCCCTAAAAATGGAAGCCTAATCAGTTCCAATGCTTGTCCAGCCCAACGGGTCCGTGATCACCCCTGCCTTCAAGGAAAGAGAGCGGCCCACCCTGGGGCCTGTGTTTTGCAATCAGCCTTCTTCATGGATGGACTCTCAAAACCTATATTCAACGCACAGAAGTCAGGTGAAAATCGTGTGAAAGATTCTGTAATACGCGGCGAAATGATGGTTGTCCATCAAATTGACTTGGCACATACAGGGTTCAAAAAACATTTATGTGGTTCGCTTAGCTTGATTGTATTTGCAGCTCGGCTCTCAAATATTGCATGACCAGCATATTTCAAGCCTGGACTTAGTTGGTTTGGCTTATGATGAACTGATAGAAAGCGTGTGTCAAACTACAAGCATCCAACATCCTAGCAAATCCTGTTGCCACTATTCGGAGATATTGCACCACATCACATACCTGAAAATTGACCAGGCGCGCGCTCGCGACACTGCCCTTTCTAGTAAATAGGGGCTTCTCACCATATCCCTAAGATGCATCGCCGCGCCCAAAAAAGGCCTCAGAGGCCTGTGCCCTCAGAGGCCTGTGGGTAAGTCACACGCAAACAGGTCTTTGCTTCTGCGGAACCATGGACCTTGTGAAGCGTGGCCCTCCGATGCCGCGGTTCCGGGCAGCCGGCAGGAGTGCAAAAGTAGTTTTGCAGCATGCGTGTTGTTGTTGGTTCTTGTTTTTCCGCAAGGGTTCATATTGTTCTTAATTCAGAGTGCTTGGTTTCTATATTTTGTGTTTTTTTTCAATTTGATTGTTTATACGGGTTCTGTTTCATTTTTTTTTTGTTTTTCAATATTGTCTTTGTTTCCAAAACGCGGGGCCCCCTGGCGAGCCCTTCTGCAAGCAAAAGGGTTGTCTGGACCATGGCAAATATGGGCCACCCGTATGAGCCACGGTCAAAGGATGCAGTTGCCGGAAAGGGCACGGGAAAGTTCGGGCTGGGCCCGCTGGCTTGTGAAAGGTTGAAACTGGGGGCCTTTGGCAATCAATCTGGGCGTCCTTGGGGTCGGTACACTTCTGACCCTTACAGGAAACCCAAAGGGAAACGGCAGGAAAACGGGAAACCCGGGAAGCCCGATACGTCGAACCTGTCACTGCCTGGTTGGGCAGTGGCGGCAAGCAGTAGCCAGAGTCCGAGTCCTTGTCGTTGAGGAAGTCCAGCGGCAGGCCGAGGTCGCAGCACTCCCGGAGGGTTTCCTGGTGCAAGAACTGGTGCGGAATCCAAACTTTCCTCGAGGAAGTTGCAGGTGTGGGGCTCTGGAGGTATGGAGCTGAAAAGAAATGTGCCGTTGTTTGAGGCGCGCCGTCTTTCGCCCCCCGGGAGTCGGTATGAATCTGTGGTCAGCAGAAAACTTCCAAATTCAAAGCTGGAGTCTCTTAAACCCCTTCCCAAAATCCGTGGAAGATACAAAATCTACAAACCCCGTACCATGACCCAGACCCAAACTTTCAAACTGGCCACCACATGTGCTCTGGGATTCAAACCACCACTAGAACACTGGGGGCCATGTAGCCAGCATTGTTTACCTAAGGAGCCTCATCATCTAAATCGGGTCATCCACACGTTTGGATCACCCGTCCAGCATCTTGCGGAAGGCGCCCTCAGATTGAGCGTCCATGTCGTCCTTTCCAGGCGGCTGGAAGGCGGCCTCAGACACAGACGTCTCCGAATCTGGCAGCCAGGGCTCTGGGCGACAGATCATGGTTCCCTTTTGAACTTTCGTGGTTGTCTAACCCCCTAGGGCTGATGCAATGTCGGGCCCATTTCAATCACACCTGAGCCAGCAAACCATGATGCTGGGGCCCTCAACAATTCCTAATAGAGGGTTGGTGGCCATCCTGACCAACCAAGACATTAAAAGAGGCTTTTGACCATGGGCTCGAATGCGGTCGATGCCGCCACGTTGATTCAAACAAATCCTCGCGCACCTGAGCCGGTGCTTAGCCTTGCAAACTGGCCCACGCAAAACGGCCCTGGGCATTCCGCTTCTGCAACTTTCCCGCTGCGATCCAGGGCGGGAGGGATGGGAGGGAGGGGAGGGATGGGAGGGAGGGGAGGGATGGGAGGGATGGGATGGGATGGGAGGGATGGGAGGGATGAGAGCTGGCTGTTTCAAGAATCGTCGGACTCAGGGGTTTCCGTAAGCAGCCTTTCTCAGAGCTGAGTTTTCGTGCCACGCCTGGTGCTCGGGCACGTAGACATGGCGAATACACTGCACCAGGCTCGCTAGGTCATCGAACATTCGCTGGTGCCTGTCGCAAAAACAGGTGAGCAGCACCCAAAACCAACATGGTTGTACATTGGTGTTATATAGGCCTTACTGCAACCCCAGTGAAATCAAGAAGTAGAACCAACTACTATTTTGGGTGCTTCTCATGTGGTCCAAGAGAACATCCACATGTGGGCCTGTCTCAAGACTGAACCGTTAAACGGGCAAAATAAATGCAAAAAGCCACAATTGGAGTGCCCCTCATGTTAAGAAACATATGTGTATATACATATATATGTATATATATATATATCGATTTATCTATGGGTTTATCTATTGATTGATTTATCTTCCTATGTGTTTTAATATCATCTATGTGTTCAGACGTACACATACTGTAAACCTTGCTACCAAATGGAGGTATAGCGCTCTTTGGGGAGTGATGTGACCCGGGCTTGAAACTGGACATCCCGTTTTCCATGAGATCTAAATGAAAAGAAAGCGCATCGCCCCTCGGTGAAGGAAATTTCAGCGACCCTTTGCGCTTGAACAAATTCCAGTCTCTGGGCAGTGAGGTGGGAACCTGAAGCCCATGTTGGAGGTAGTTTGAGACGAAAAATCCAAAGGAAACCCTCACTGCTTGGTGGTGCAGATTGGTTGTCTTTTCCTGCAAGTCTGCAACATTAAAGAAGAATCAAGGCTTCAAATCCTGAGTCTCAAGCCAATCCAAGCCGCTAAGCCCCCCCAACATTGCCTCAGAAAAGGCCAAAGAGGGACATATAAAGAACAAACGCTCCAAGGTTTGAGCAACAAGTTGATCAGGATGGAACACTAGAAAGAGGTGCCCCAATGCAAGCCAACCACAGCAAAGAAACAATGCTATTTATATATATATATATATATACTGTATGTATATATATATATATGTGTATATATATATAAATATGTATACATATATATATATATATCTATATATATATATTTGTATATGTACGCATCAAAACCGTAAAAAAATAGGTGCCCAATAGAAGCAGCAACCGCGTCGACCACCAAAAGGCCACCCCCGCATCCGAGCCGAGCCAAAGGATCCCTCGAAGCGGCGCCGAACCGAAGGCGAGTTCTTCGAGCCGAAGGCGCCACCACACGAAGCCCCAGAGCTGGATCCAGCAGCGATGCCGCCGGGAGATGGGCACCTCGAGATGTTCGACGGCTCGCCTTCTGACGGCTCGCGGCTCGACGGCTCCTGACGGCTCCCGGATGCCCGGATCATGCGCGGATCGGTGGTTGTGAATGTGAACCCCTTCGGTTGGTTTGGAGCCCGGTGGTTTGGGAGGGAACCATTTCCTGGTTCTTGAGGGATGGGAAACTCCGGAGCACCAAACCAGGAATCCAAACCACCAACTAGAGGGAAGCTGATTTGTTCAATCCCAAACCACAGATCCAAAAAAGGCCCAGGTGATATCCCCAACAGCACCTGCCGAAATCCTTCCGGAACCCTACCCGGCCGCTCCGAACCACTCTGGGCCCAAAGTTGGGGCAGAGACCTCATAGCTTCCAGCTGGGGAAAAGCGCTACTTGCAGTGTCCCGGGGCTTCCAAAGCTCGCTGGTCTTATTTGCCTTTGCTTTCAGCTTCCCAGGGGGGGAACCCCGGCTGAAAATGCTCTAAGATACGGTGTTAGGGAAGCCAAATGGAAACCAAGCACCTCAGGGGACCCTGCTTTTTAGACGCACCATCGTGTCATTCACACGTGTCTGGTGCCCGTGCACAGCGCGAGCAGTGCAGCGGGCGAGTTCTTCGAGCGCGATCAGGGTCATTGCCTGAAAGGCCGTGACAGATCGTTGGCCGATCTGATGGGCCTGCCTGTACAGAACGTTCGAAGGGCCTGGCGCGCCTGGTGTTTAACCAGGGTGGAAAGCTTGAGGGTTAAACCGCTTTGCGGGGGAGCAACCCCAAGAGAGGCCAGGTTAATGCCCCGAACTTCCTGGATGTCCAAATCAAAATGAACAGCAACCAACCGGAAAAAGGAACGAGTCATGCGAATGTCCGAGGCAAGGGTCGTTTGGACACCCAAGAGGGGGCTGGGGTTCCTCCAGATCTCGCCGCTGGTGTGCGAGGTGGGAACCGGCATGCTAAGAGACGCAAGTCTCATCATCACGGCAACCTCAAGCCATGAGATGTGCGAGGCGAGGGTCGCCTGTTCAGCTTCCTGTAGCAGCCAAGTGATGGCTTGCCTGGGGAAGCCCGAATCAAACTTGAATTCGATGCGCGAACCGGGTAGTGATTGGGCCCAGTCCGGGCTCAAAACTTCAGGCCAACTCACGAGAGCCTCTCCTGAATCGGGTTCAGGATCAGCATCGGCAGGTAGGTCGTATTCCTCAAAGCCATCGGCAGCTGTGGGCTGGTTCTCAGCGTTGGTAGCTGCGACTGCAAGGTGGAGCTCTTGAAGGCATGCTAGGCGATGCAGCTGATCTCGCTCAGTTTGGCTGTACGCCGTCCAGAGGGTGTGGAACTCTTCAGAATGCCGGCGATTTGCCTCCTTGGCTGCATAGTCAGCAACGTTGTTCCAGTGCGCCAGCCAAGCATCAACAGGGTCGTCCATCTCGGCGGGGATGCTGTGGCCAGCCGTATGATGCACCAGAAGCTGGCCTTCACCAAGTGTGGCCAGAGTGGCAGAGAGCTGCTGCCAAAGGTCCGCGTTGGTTCGGCTTGGGATGTCATCCGGGGCTTGTTGAAGCTGCCAAATCCCGGTTGCGGTGTATGCAGAATCCGTCCACAAATGTGTTCGGCACCTGCATCGTTTGGTCCACTGCGCAGTGATGAGGGCTGCGTAGAGCTCCGCTCGGTTGCTGGACTGTACTTCGCCAGGGAGCGGTCCAGATGCAATTCGTGACTGCCGGGATGCCGATATGACTGACCAAGCTGCTAGAGACAGTGGGCTGTACGTTGGAGATGTGCAAGTGCCATCCGAGAAAACATGGGTGTCCTGCGCTCGGTCACCAAGGATCTCGAAGGAAACGGGCTTCTCGTGGAGGGAGTGCAGGTAGCGGCGTAGCTGACCATGGTGAGGATTGCGAGGTGGAAGTAGTCGTTCACGAAGTGAGATCGGAGTTCCTTCCCATAGTGCAAGTGCTTCGGGATGTGCTGCTCGACTTATGGAGAAGCCCGGGCAATGTAGGCATCTGTGGTCTACAGTGTCTGGCTGCAGGCATCTGGCACAAGTGGCAGAGATGAAGCAATCATACTTGGCCTTGTGGGTGTTGAGGTAGAAGGCACCCTCGCGAAGTGCGCAGATCTGGGCGGACTGCAAGGCTGTGTGGTGGGCGCCAAGGTGCCGACATGCAGGCCAGTTGACTCCTTGTAGTCCTTGGAGGTCGGTTCTGGTGGAGGCGTCCAAGGCCACACGTTGGCGCCATGCGTCCTCAAGGATGCTTCGAAGGTAGTGGTGGTCAATGGTGAGGATGTTGTGTTGAAGGCCATCGTGATCAGTGAGGTAAGGTGGAGCTTCGATCTTCCAGGATACGGCGTTGAGTTGGCGAATCAACACCGAGAAGGGGCCGGCGTAGAAGTGGCCATCAAAAGAGGCCTGGAACTGATGCCACATGTCCAGAAGTGCGGCCTGCTTCAGAAGCATCCTGCGAAAGGTCCTCACAACATGCCAGAGCTGGTAAAAGCCTGGATCGGCGAGGGTGTTGCCTTGCAAAAGGCTGAGTCGAATGGCAGGGCTGGCGCCTGCGTTGCCATGCCCAAGTGCGCGAACCGCTGCAGTGCGTAGTTGCTTGATAAGCTGGAGGGAGAAGTCCTCGATGGGGGCGCTGTGGAATATCTTGGGCCACATGGATTGAACCAATACATGGGTTTTGCATAAGCCGGGAGCACGAAGCCGTCGGAGCAAAGACCATGTTGGTTGCAGGTTTTGTACCAAGGTGGAATGATGAGCAACTCGCCTGCGCGGGCCATACGTCATGTGTCCGCCGAGATCTTTGTCCTTCAGGCTGATGCGGTGCTTGAGGAGGCCGAGTTGTTGGCGATCACGCGGATGGACTGCCCAAAGGTAGGTCTTGTCAAGGTCGATGCTGAGCTGAAACATGTCCAGGAAGGTCTCCTGAGCAACCATGGCTTGTAGAAGGGCTCCCGGGGTAGGAGCCAAGATCTCCAGATTGTCCACAAAGGAAATGGATGTGGCCCGCGGGGCAAAGTGCGCTTGGTACAAATGGTAGCACCAGTCGGTGAGGGCCATGGCCAGACAGCTCAATGGGCAGCCTTCTGGGTATCCGCAGTTGGAGAAGAGAGGAGAGCCCACCGTGTCCCGGATCTTGAAACGTCGCGAAAAGCCGAGCAGGAAGCGATGCCATGCTTCGACAAAATCCGCGTCGAATCCAACATGTTTGGCAATCTGCTTGATCGGGCCCCGCGGCAGGTGGTTGAATGCTTTCTCAACGTCAGCAACGCAGCCAACCAATGGCTGCGATTGTTGTGCTCGTAGTTCAATGAGGCCCTGCAAGGGGAGCCAGATCTCCTGGGCTTCTCTAGTGGGCAAGAAGCCAAACGCCGGGCAGTCCATGAGCTGCTCGAGTTGTTGAAGTCCCTGTCTGGCGCGAATGGAGGACCAGGTGCGGTAGATCATGCTCAGGATGATGATGGGTCGGTACTGTGAGACCTCCTCGGCATCAACGCACTTGGCAAGGCCGTGGGCGTGGCCATTCAGAAGCTGCTGAGGCCATTGTTCACCACGTTCAATGCGGTGAAGTAGATCGAGGTGCGCTTGCTTGAGTTGAGGTGGCATGTTGATGAGGTCGAGGCGTCCGTAGCCATCTGGCCCTCGGGCGGCGTGAGCTTTGAACTTGTTGAGGGTGTTATCCCATTGGGGAAGTTGAAGGCGTGGTAGGTCGATGGCGCCCTTGGGAACGTAGGCTTTGACGAAGCCAAAGATGCGCTTCCAGGCTTCTTGAGGTAGGTCAGCATGTTTGGACCATCGCTTCTGCCAAAACTGTTCCAGCGTGGAGTGGATCTGAGATTCGGAGGACAGGTGATGGTGCTGGTGTAGCTGTTGTCCCTTGACAAGCAGGAGATCCGACTCAACCTCGAAGGTGTCCTGGGAGAGCTGTTTGACGGTGGCGGGCGTCCCATCCACCCACCAGGTGGCATATGGCCTGCTTTCCAACGAGGCATCAGTGTGGATCTGCGTGCCATCCGCTGAGACCGCAAGGATGGCGACGGTGTGTTTCTCGACCAGGCGATCGATGGGCTCCCTCATGGCTGGTTTGATAGCCTTGAAGATGCGGTGGTGATGTTGCTGTAGTCGAGCTTGGTTGCATTTCGACTTCTGGCGCAAATTCCAGCTTTCAAAGCTCCGGAAATTGTAGCGGAAGTCGTTGTAGATGTTGTGCATGAGGTCGAGGGATGGAGCATAGAGTGGCAGGTGAGGTGGGCTGCCTTGGAACTGGTGCTTCCTAGTGGGCCACGATTCGCAGAAAGTGGGCTGAAAGCCCGGTGCGTGTAGTATCGCATGCCAGAGCTCGGTCCGGTAGAGTTGGTGCGTAGGGCCTTGGCCTCCAGCTTTGAGGGCATGGTGCATGCTCTGAAGACGTCGTAGTTGTCGAAACCATCTGAGTACGGCCCGGCTGATGACATCGGAAGCCAAATGCTCTTCTCCTGGGCGACTGGATCGAAGGATCGGGGCTTGTGGTTGTCTCCGTACTGGTTGGAGGCGTTGGCCTCGACCAAGGCAGGCAGGTGGCAGGCGTATGTGCGAGTGCTCGGACAGGTGGTGATCAAGGCTAGTCTCATAGAGGTAGCCCAAGTGCTTGTAGTGTGAAGTGGGGTCCAGGGTTGGTTGGGTGTCGTTGAGGCTGGGTTGGAAGGATGCATGCCAGGTCTGAATGTCGGCTTCCTCCCATGGTAGCTGTGCTGGTAGTGGCCATGCCCAGTAGCTGGGGTGATTGTCCGGTATCTGGAAAACACCATGAAGGGCTCCATGATCCGCAAACCATGCTTCGTAGTGAGCTGCAGTGAAGAATGCTGCAAGTTCGGGCGAGATGTAGAGCCGATCAGGGCGCGACATGCCACGATATGTGTCCTGGGGGACGTAGCCCGAACGTTGGTGGTGAAGGGACTGAATCTCGACCCATCCCGCTTGAAGCCATCCCTGGATGGATGGCAGGGATTCAGGGTGGTTGAAGTCTCCTGCGACA